TGAATCTAAAACCTCTTTGGGATAATTCCAATACACATTAACAAAGTATGGTAGTCCGGTAGACGCCATTTATACCTGTTAAAAATAAAATCACGAATTCTTTTATCAAACTCTAATACTCATAATCCATGAATAACATATAATTCACTTTCAACCAAAAAAACCATAAAAAAAAAAATCATTCTCAATCAAATAATCCCCTTATCGAACAATAACATATAAATCATCTATAATTCCGATAAATTGAAATCCTAATTTCAAAAAACCCTAACCACAACAACAACCAAACAATTACACAATTGACAATTAACACATAATATTTCAATCTCCAATTCAACATACACACATAATCGTTAATCAATTAGCAATTTCAAGTTTCAAACACCAACACATTCAAACATATTATAACAATTATCAATCTCCAAATAACTCTAAACAAATATAAAAAGTTAAGATAAACCAATATACCTCGTGCGAATGAATTAACCGGAGATAAGGCTCGTGTCACTGTTGTCGGTTCACGTTGGAGTGAAGATTGGATCGAGTTTTTTTTTTTCTCTAGTATTTTCGCTCTTTCTGTTGCTCCTCTCAGCTCCCCTCTGTTGTTGATGCTCGCGTAAAATGAATGGAGAAGAAGATTTTTTTTTAATATAACATAAAACGTATTTAAGGAATACGTTTTCTGTGCATTTAAATGTAAAACGTAATCCTTAAATACGTTTTACTTAAATGTATTTTCTAAAAAAAAAAAAAATTTAAGACGTATTTCGTGAATACGTTTTGTGAAAACGTATTACTCAAATACGTATTTTATTTATTTTTTTTATTTAACAAAAACCATTTTGAAAATTGTTTACGATTTTTTTTTTAATTAAAACATATAAATGAAAACGTATTCAAGGAATACGTTTTCTTAAATAATTTTTTTAAAAAAAAATCGTATTCAAGGAATACGTGGTTTTTATGCTTGTACACTCCCTTTTTTCTTTTCTTTTTTTTTTTTGTCCACA